AGTAGAGACCGCTTTGCTCTCCCACGATGACTGGAAAGCTACGCCCATCACCGCGCCCCCGCGTACTGCCTCGCATCCAGATGAGAGAGGAATCCGGACGGTCCGATTCCGTAAAGTATTCGACTGCCCCGATGCGAAAGGTGGCGGTAATACCAGACTCTACATCACTTCGCTAGGCTTATACGAAGCGTACCTGAACGGCCACCGCATCGGAGACGAGTGGCTCGCCCCCGGCTGGACTGCTTACCAACATCGCATTCAATACCAGGTCTTCGATGTAGCGCATCTCCTAAAGCCTGGCCAGCAGAACGTTCTCACAGTGGAAGTCAGCGAAGGGTGGTATGCGGGCCGAATTCTTTGGGGCGAGGGCTTAACCTGCTTCTACGGCGACCGCATCGGTGTACTAGCTCAGCTCGAGATCCGCGACGACGATAGAGCAGGACCAGCTTTGAAGCTTGTGACCGACGATTCATGGGAGTGCAGGTCCTCACCAATCGTCGGAAGCGACATCTACGACGGTGAGACGTACGATCTCGGTCTCGAAGTAAACGACTGGCATCACGACGACCACAGCGAATGGACACACGTCGAGACGCTACCGTTTCCGAAATCCACACTCATAGCAGCATCCTCTCCACCAGTCCGTACGACGGAGACCCTCAAACCCATCAAAGTCTTCAAAGACATCAACGGCAGGACGCTCGTCGACTTTGGTCAGAATCTCGTCGGCAAACTCGTCATCCCAAAGCTCGCAAAGCCAAACGGTCACCGCCTCACCATCCGCCACGCAGAGGTCCTCGAAAACGGCCAACTCGGAACCCGCCCTCTCCGAGCAGCAAAGGCGACCGATACGATCATCTTCGGCGGCGGCCGAGTCCTAGAGAACTGGTCCCCTCACTTCACCTACCACGGCTTCCGCTACGTCGAGCTGGACGGCTGGGACGATCTGACGCTAGACTCACTGTCCGCCGTCGTCATGCACACAGATATGCAGCGGACAGGCTTCTTCTCCTGCTCCAACGACGACGTCAACACGCTCCACCACAACGTCGTCTGGAGCATGCGCGGGAACTTCGTCTCTATCCCCACAGATTGTCCGCAGCGCGATGAGCGCCTGGGCTGGACGGGCGACATCCAAATCTTTAGTCCGACGGCCTCGTTTCTGTACGATTGTGCGGGCATGCTGAGCAACTGGATGCGAGACGTGCTCCTGGATCAAAAGGACGCCGGCGGTATCGTTCCGCTTGTGGTGCCCAATGTTATGAAGGACGGACCTTGGCCTTCTGTGCCGCAGGCAGTGTGGGATGATGTTGTTGTACTGGTGCCTTGGACTTTGTATAAGTGGTTTGGCGACGCGGGCGTCTTGGAAGAGACGTATCCGGGTATGAGAGACTACCTCAAGTCCATCAAGCGTGGAGACGACGGCTTATGGGATTCTTCGCTTTGGCAGTTGGGCGACTGGCTTGATCCCAACGCGCCGCCCGCCGAGCCAGGTCTAGCTAGAACGGACGGCACCCTCGTCGCGGACGCGTATCTGGTTCACGTCACCGGCATCGTCTCCCAGATCGCCAGCATCATCAATCTTCCATCTGAGGCTGAGGAACTCGCTATTGAACACAAACAGCTCAAACAGCTCTTTCAGGACAAGTACATCACCAGAGCAGGATTTATCGTCGCGGATTCCCAGACGGCGCTGGCTCTGGCCCTCCTGTTCGACTTACACGACACCACCGCCCAACGCGAAGCTGCCGCCGCAAGACTCGCGCGGTCGGTGCAGTATTCTAAGTTCAGAGTGTCCACCGGCTTCGCTGGTACGCCCGTAATCCTTCACGCGCTGTCAGAGACAGAACACGTCCAGCACGCATACCGTATGCTTCTAGAGACGGGATGTCCCTCGTGGCTATACCCCATCCGCATGGGTGCCACCACAGTCTGGGAGAGATGGGATAGCATGCTAGAAGACGGGACAATCAATCCGGGAGAGATGACAAGCTTCAACCACTACGCGCTCGGTAGCGTCGCGAACTGGATGCACGCCGGTATTGGGGGGCTGTCACCGCTCGAGGCCGGGTGGAAGAGGTTCCGGGTTCGGCCTCGGCCCGGAGGGGACCTGCGACACGCCAGCGTCGAGTACCTGAGCCCGCACGGCTCGGTCCGGAGTCGATGGGAGATTGTGACAGTTGAGAAGTTTGTATTAGAGCTGACGGTGCCGCTGAATACGTCTGCTGTAGTTTCTTTGCCGGATGGCGGGGAGGAGAGGACGGTTGGGTCTGGAAGTCATGTATTCGAGAGCCGTCTGGCTCCGGGACTGAGGGAGGCGTGGTCTCCCAAAGCTCTGTTGACGCAGTTTGGACTGTGATGTCGTTTGAGTGGACAATATTGACTTTGATGTGCCTCTGATGGGAGTCTCAGTAGATTTGCAACTCGCAACGCGAATGTCGACATGCTTGAATCTTAAGCTTGCAATACTGTAAGACGGGCTGCTAGTTAGCCCGCGTATTACTAGGTACTCCGTGACTTAACGCAACTCACAGTAATCATCATTGCAAGACAAATCTGTTGCACGGTAAACGTAACCTTTGTTAGTTTTTTATTGTTAATTGCCATGGTTGCTATAAGCGTCACCTATCTTTTCACCCCATTCTTGTATTATTGTCATACCCAAGGCTGCAAAAATCTCTTGAAGCTCGTCTTATGAGTGTTTGCTCAGGTGGACTGCCGTTATGTTGCTGTAGAAACCTTGACTTGGAGCTGTGACCACCGTATAATGCACCCATCCAAAGGGGACTTTGGGGACTTTGGGGACTTTGAGGAGGGGACTTTTGCGACGGACCCCTGCTATCTCTGACTCTGACCGTCTGACGGATCTCCGTGCCGTAGAATTGCATCATTGCGGCCGCTGGTGACCTTCCGAGCTCGGTTACTCGCTAACCACTTGCTCATCTTTCTGATAAACTAAAGCTTACCCTCCTCCTCCTCTTCTCATATACCATTGAGGATTGCTCTCTCCTCGAGTTCCTCCATCAACATTGCCCATTTGTCAAGCTGCCCATCATGCGCTACTCCCTCTCAGCCAAGCTGCTCCTCCTGCTGGGCTCTTCTCAGCTCGTGCTCAGCTCCCCCGACGATCAGCGCGTACTCGCTCCCGCTACTGGATCGACGATAAACGATGATGCCGCGACCTTAGGCTGGGATAAGGCCCCCATGTTCACGATCGAGAACAAAGACGTAATTTTCGCGGCGCTCAAGAGATTCGCTGACCCCGTCGACGCCCTCGTTTCTCTTCAGCCCGATATGGCGGACACGCTTGCCGAGCCGAGACTCATCCATGTTCATGGCGAGAAAATGGCAGAATGGATGACCGAGGGCGATAAGCTTCGTCTTCGGCGCAAGGGACGCAAGTTCCGCGACATCACTGATTTCCAGGAGCTCTACGCCGACCACGTCAACACCTTTGCGGGCAAAGCCAGTAAGTCCGATTCATAGTACCCGTCGGGATTACTCCTCGTAGAATACGGACAGCTGATGCTCTCGCAACCGCAGACCTTCCCAAGATCACCCACCAAAGCCTCATCAAGCCCCTCTTCCCCAAAGTCAACCAGACAAACATGCACAATGTCCTCAAGCACATGACGAGCTACTACAACAGATACTACGGCGGCGTCACCGGCGAGGAGAGTTCCGTCTGGCTGCACGACCACGTCGCCTCGATCATTGCCCAGTCGCCCTTCCACGCCCACATCTCGCTCGAGTACTTCACCCACGAGTTCCCCCAATCCTCCATCATCGCCCGCTTCGAGCCCAAGGTCCGCGACTTCTCCAAGCCCCTAACCATCATCGGCGCCCACCAAGACTCGGCAAACTACCTCTTCCCTCTGCTTCCCGCCCCCGGCGCAGACGACGACTGCTCCGGTACCGTAAGCATTCTCGAGGCCTTCCGCGTTCTCGCGACGAGCGGCTATGTGCCCAAGGAGGGACCCGTCGAGTTCCACTGGTACGCGGCCGAGGAGGGCGGGTTGCTGGGTAGCCAGGCCGTTGCAGCCTACAAGAAGAAGGAGGGTGCCAACATTGGCGCCATGATGGAGTTCGACATGACGGCTTTTATCGCGCGTAACGCTACCGAGTCGATTGGGTTCATCAAGACGGATGCGGACGCGCCGCTCACCAAGTGGGCGGTGGACCTGAGCGAGGAGTACATCAACATCACGACGAGCGTCTACGAGCTCATGCCCGGCGCCGGGTCGGATTACATGTCATACACCAAGCTCGGGTTCCCTGCTACGTTTGCATCCGAGGGAAACCCCGTCGCGGGTGGATTCCCTGGCGAGTTCGACCCGTATGTGCACACGGAAAAGGATACCATGGATGTCGATGATGAGACGGGGGTGTTTTCTATTGACCACATGGCGAGGTTCTCTGAGCTGGCCATTGCCTTTGCTATTGAGCAGGCTGGGTGGGATAACAAGTGGAGGTAAACGGTGGTCGTTAGGGGGACCATAAATTGATGATAGCCACGTTCTGGCGATGGTATCGTTTTGATGACGTGCCTTAAAGAGTCATGATAGCCGTGGAGAGATTCGCGCAAGTTCAATGACAACCGCTGATTTCCTGTTCGATATACGAGTACCTTTGAAGTTTGAGGAATCCAATTCCGCATTGCGGCCAGTTCCTCATCGCATTCCGAGCCAGTTCCGAAGAGCTCTCACCTACCCAGCCTGTCAAGACCCTTAGTTGATGGCGTCAACAACAGCTTGAATATGCATAACGCGATCGATGACAAATTGCGGGGGACTCAATGACAAAGTGCGGAGACAACCAGCGCCTTCGGCTCCCACATGTAATCGCAAGCTGACCAAGCTAAGCTGAAGAACCTCATGAAGTGAACCTTGATCTCTCTTCGTTCACCAAGCTAAGGAACTCTCCTAGTCTTGCGCAACTTAAGAACTCAACGGTTCTGGCAAATACAGCCTCATACTAAACGTTAGCGACTCACCTCAACGATGGCCTCAGCAACATCCTTTCGCCAAATCGTCGGCGCCCCGCCCTCGACGGCCTCACCCACCGACAGCACCCTCATCATCATCGACGCTCAAAATGAGTACGCAGAAGGCAAACTCGCCGTCCGGGACGTCACCTCCTCACGCAAGGCCATCGCTGCCCTGCTGCAAAAGTACCGCGACGCCGGCCAGCCCAGCAGCATCGTGCACGTCGTCCACGATACGCCCGAAGGCGCTCCCCTCTTCACGCCTGGAACCAAGCTGGCCGAGGAGTTCGACGAGCTGAAACCTAGGGATGGTGAGAAGGTTGTCAGGAAGCAGTTCCCTGGTTCCTTTGCGGGAACGGATTTGCAGGCGCATTTGGAGGGGTTGGGAGCGAGGGGGAAGAAGGTTGTGTTGACTGGGTACATGGTGAGTCTGGCGCATTTCACATGCGGAATATTTACCCTTGCAAGATGATAAGTTTGAATGCTGATGTGTGGTTTTCAAGGCTCACGTTTGTGTCTCTACTACCGCTAGGCAAGCTGACCAGCGTGGGTTTGACGTTCTGATTGCTGAGGATGCGGTCGGCGATCGTGATATTCCTGGCGTCGACGCAGCGCAGCTCGTCAAGGTTGCTTTGAGTGAGATTGGCGATGCCTTTGGTACTGTCGTGCAGAGCAAAGACATTGTTTAGCCTCGTTCAGGAATTGAAGTACAATAAGAGTTTGTTGGTTTAACTTCACAGTTACATATACTTGGTCTGCTATACACTTGACTTCCAGTGGCCTGGGAAAGACACAACTAAATCCAAGGCGACGAAGCAGTAGTCCAGGTAACGATTAGGGAATGTAAGACTTTATAACGGACAGGTCAATAGCTGCAACTCAACTTTGTCATCGGTGACGTTCTTAACAACGATCTTTGCTAAGGAGCTCGTTCAACCCGTTCCACTCACTCTTGTACTAATGTAAACAGGGCCTGTCTGTTCGGGCCCGACAGTGACCACTGCGGGCTACCACTCTTTCCACCAGTCCCTATCTAGAGCCTGAATCTCTGCAGCCGGTCCCAGCCGTGCGGTTCTCAAGGTGCATCGAGAAAACAAATTGATAACTAGCTCAGTATCTTCCGAGAAGAAACACCGAACCATCCAAATTCAGATCCATAGCTGAAATCGCCGATTGGCGGTGCCATAGCGCGGAGAAAACGGCACCATGCTATCAAGGCCCTGACGATCGGTGCGGCCTACCCAGAGCTGTTGAAGCCCACTAAAGAGGCACAGCAACCGTTACTGATTCGAATACTGACGGGACATTGGTTACGCTCTTCAAGAACAAACATGGAGTGCCGAGGAAGAGTTATGAGAGCCCACAGGAACTCCATCGTTGCAGGGCCGCGCAGCTAACCGACTTGGCGAAGAACGAATTCATAGCCCAAAGAGGCATCAGTGTCGTCACCACTTTGTGCTGCTCAGCTGGAGCAAGCTGTTGGGCTCTCAATGTCCCACTGAATAGCTCGAATACTCACAAAGTTGCAAGGGCAAAGCGGCGGGTTTAACAGCTTGGGATTCGGACCTCGGACAACTCAGTTCTGCGAGCGAAGCATTGGCGCGCTCATCACCATCTGAGAGAACCGTTGTTTGTTCTTGTCTTGCGACGGCCCCACGATGGAAGATGAATTGGATAAAAGGTATAAGCAGCCGCACAATGGGATGAACTCGCGATGGTATCACCCTATCATTGCAACTCAATATCAAGTGCCACACATTCTTCGCGACGGCCATAGTTATTAGACTTGTCTCTAGTTATTAGACATCTGACCCCGACGAAGCCATCACGATGAGATTGCCCACCCTCTCCACGATCCTCTCCTGGGCAGCCGTCGCGTCCGCCGTCGCCATCACAAACGAGACCTCGCCCTCCCCGAGCATCCCCAACGTCGTCCAGTCTACCTGGGACGGAAAATGCTTCTACCCTACCCCGGACGCCGCCTTCGACCTCGACTCCTACCTCGGCCGTTGGTACCAGGTCGCCGGCACCGTTGCACCCTTCACTGCCGGGTGCAAGTGCATCTTTGCGCAGTACTCTCTCAATGTGCGCACACACTCTTCTCCATTCTGTGCGACTTGAGTAGCTGTCTTTGAGGGCATGTGTGACGGTCTAACTATTATTCGTTATTTAGGATAACGGCACCGTCAAGGTGAACAACACCTGCGAAGCCGGGGGCCGCGCCATCAACATCCTAGGCACCGCCGCGCCAGCCGATCCGTCGTACGGAGCCAAGGGTGTCCTTCGCGTTCAGTTCCCCGGCCAGCCCGGGCCCGATTGCGCCGGCCCGAATTACATTGTTCAAGGTACGCGCAATGCGCCCCTATCTATAATTGAGAGCGTACTCAGGCACAGAGCTGCTCTTCCACGTTGGGGCCGAAACCTTGTCAAGGTCCTTACAAGCTGACAATGTGATTCCCTTTGCACAGACTACACCCCAGACTTTGCGCTCGTGCAGGCTAGCAACTTTACGACTCTGTTCGTGCTCAGTCGCCAGCGGAACCCGGAGGACGCGGTCCTCGACGTAAGTCTCTCCTCTCTGTTCTCTCCCATACAGTGCAATGGAATGGTACAATATTTTCCGCAAGCGTTGCAACCAGTAATGTAAGCGCATGCAATTGCTAACGGGATAAATTCTCAACAGGCTTGGATCGCGCGCGCCGGTCAGCTCGGCTCGAATCTCGCAGACGTTGTCAAGACGGATCAGACCGGTTGCCAGTTCGCATGAGACATGGGGAATGCGCCAAAGGCTGCATCTGGGGATCGCGAAGAATCTGTGCCTGGCGCTTGGCCTGGAACGGAAGAATTGAGATGAGACTTTGGGTCTTCGAGTGTCCCAGAGCGGTCTTTGGGGCCAAAGGTAAAATAGTGGTATTCCTACAAAAACAGACGAGAATTCCATGCGAATGCCGGATGTCTCGTGTCATTGTCAATGTCAGTGTCGCAGCCGGTGACATTCGCAAGCAGGATCATAAACTGGGGGGACTGAGATGTGAGAACTGACCGTATATGCTCAGACCTCGATGTTGAAGCAGACAAACAAGTCAGAGCTCATAACCGAGGCTTCTAAGTCATTGGTCAATGGCCGTAGATCTCACAGCAAGCCCCCGGAGCTCAGCTCCAGCTCCAGCTCTCAGCTATCAGCTCACCTTTAAACTTTGGAGCTTGGAGCTGTAGCTTCGATACCATGACCCCATAAACTTCATTGACTTTTCCCCCATGTTGCACCAGTGCGACCACCAGGCGCGCCCACGGCGTAAGTTGTGCCACTTATGCAAGGGGTTTCTATGACGACACCACCCTCAGCCCGAGACATCATGACGAATGTGGCCGCGTCCGGCCTATGTTTGTGTGAACGCATCTGTGGGCACCCATGAATTGTGGAAGAGGACTAGGAAAAAGAAAATAGGAAAGGCTGGACCTGAGCTTTAGGACTGAGAGCGGAGGTCAAGGATGGGGATGATGATGAGTGAAGTAATGAATTGAGTTTGATTCAAATAGCTCTCGGGTCCTCCTTGCGAGGGGCGCCTTGCTCACGAGTGCCTGCTGTTGTTACTACTACGTAAAATTGATCATTATCATACAACGAAACTTTGAACAGTAGCTGCATCCCTACCACGACTGCTATATCATCCATTATTTCACACTACCACCGCAACAATGGTTAAAGCCAAGGAAGAGGTTATTTCCGAGTTCAATGAGTACGTCAACATGACGGCCGAGGACCTCGAGTCCTGGCTCAAGTCGGACGACTCAAACAGCGCGGGCTGGCCCAAGGACGACGCCGAGGGCGAGGGCGAGTCGGTCGGACATGACAGCGGGCGCAAGATTGTCGAGATCCTCCAGGCGAACCCCGAGAAGAAGGAGGACGAGTACACGGATGAGCAGGTTGAGCACATGCGCAAGGTCGTGGCGTACTGGTGAGTATACTTTCGCCAGAGACGGGGCGAAGCATGAGATGAGTGAGAAGCTAATCGAGTGATGCAACAATAGTAAGCGACACTTGGCGCAAGAGTCCAAGGGGAACAGCGATAAGTCGCCCGAGGAAGTGAAGAAGAGCAAGTCGTATGCTTCACTGAAGAACTGGGGGCACGACTTCCTCAAGGCCCAGGGCAAGGAGAATGGCGCATCAAAGTCAAATGAAAAGTCTACCAAGAAGGAAGAGAACGGCGACGAAGAGAAGGCCGAATCGAATGGGTCTAAGAAGCAAAACGGCTCCAAGAAGGACGAAGAAGAGGCCGAAGATGACAAGGAAGAGGAGGCTGCTGACGAAGAGGCCGAGGACGAGAGTGAGGAGAAGGCCGGTGACAAGCGCAAGAATGCTAGCGAGGAGAACGGGTCTAGCAAGAAGCGACAGACGCGCCAGGGCGAGGGCAAATCGACTGAAAAGTCGGATGAGAAGAATGGGGATGATGAGAAGGAAGAAGAGGCTGAGGAGAAGGATGAGGATGGTGACGAAGAGATGGAGGACGACGGCGACGACAAGGAGAATGGCGGCGGTAAGGCCAAGAAAGGACCCAAGAAGGGCGATACCGTCAGCTGGAACTGGGGCAGTGGTCAGCCTGAGGGCAAGGTCCTTGACGTGAAGGGCGAAAAGTAAGTCAATCGAGAGGTCTCATTGTCATAATGAAGACAGGACTAACGCGATACTTAGGACGTCTATCACGACGAAACGCGGAAACGAAGTGTCTCGCGATGGAGATCCTGAGGACCCGGCCGTTGTCATTGACACTGGAAAGTCGAAAGCAATCAAGTCTGCTCACGAGTTGAATGAGTGATTGGAGCTACGGAGCCGTAGAGAAGGCATACTTCGTCGCCGCGATCGGTCTGCTTTACGTCAGAAAGCATGTATAGATGCGTCGTGTACTGTTATTGTTTAGTGGACTACCTTTTTCAATTGAAGTGCTGTGATTGAATGGACAATGAAACCTGATCTGAAATGCGTTGTTACAATTCTACACTCCTATACAACATTTTACACGGCGTACATGATCCATTTTACAACTCTTCCACTCTCTCCGACTGCGAGGAACTCGTATCCTTCTGGAATTTGGTGATGGGATCCTTCTCGGCCTCCTTCACCTGGTTCCAAAACTTCTCACCGTTCTCCTTGTCATCCTTGAACAGGTGATCAATCACCAGCTTCTTGGGCGTCTCACCCATCCACTGGAAGAGAGAAAAATCGCGGAACTCATCAGCCCGGAAAATCTCGAGCATCTCAATAGGCTCATCGCCGATATTCTCAACAAAGTGACCCATGTTTTTAGGCACAATACCAACATCGCCAGGGACGTAATCGAAAGTGCGGGCAGTGCCCTCAGCCGCGAAGATGGTAATACGGGCCCGACCCTTGATGAAGAAGGACCACTCGTCAGCATTGGGATGCCAGTGCATCTCGCGTAGCGCGCCAGGCTGGATCGTGAGGTGGGCAGCAGCAACCTGTAAGGGACATGATTGTCAGTCTCGAACATCCTGAGAAGCGTGTCGAGGTTTCAATTCCTTACAGTCTTAGAGATGGGGAAGTTCTTGGAGTCGGTGATGCGGACCTCGCCGCCGGACGTCTGCTCGGGCTCCTGATCAAGCATCCTATGGGTGAAGTTGAAGCGGGACTTCTTGGCATGCTTGCCCTTGGGCCGTTCCTCGTCAATGGGGCCCGGGAGCGTGCCCTGGAAGATATATTTCTCGCCTTCGGGGAGGTGCTTGAAGACTTCGGGCTCGAGGTGGAAGTTTTCGGCAATGACTGACTTGGGCGTGTGCGCGAGCCAGTCTGACAGGATAAAGGTCGATTCCTCAGAGAAACGGCCATCGTCAAAGATGAGGAGGAACTCGGTGCCATTGGGACTCAGTCCTTGCAGGGAGTGAGGGACGCCTGACGGGAAGTACCAGAGGTCTATTGGGTATCGATTATTAGCTTTCATTGCCATCGTCGCAAGATCAATGTTGATAAACAGCTTCAAGCAATCGAAAAGGTTATGGAGGCATATGCTTACCGCCCTTCTTGAGATCGTCGATAAAGTTACCGCCCTCGTAGTCGAGCGCTGTAACGCGAACTTCGCCGTCCAAGACGTACGCCCATTCGGCCTCCTTGTGCCAGTGAAGCTCTCGAATGACGCCCTCCCCAAGACGCATGTTTACACCGGCGAGCTCGACGCTGGTGGACAGCTCACGGACAGTTGTCTGTCGGGTCCATCCGCCTTCCTGTTATTTGGCAAATGTTGTTAGTCGGGGATGGATTTGGGCTTGCGTGGTGGCTTTAGTGCCACTCTGACAGCTCAATTGGCTTCGAATCACTGAGTACTCACCTCAATTCGAATATGCGAATCCGCGAAACTCCAGCGCATGTTGGGCATGTTTCCCTTGTCCGTTGAAGGCGGCCGCACCATATCCGGGTTCTGGCGCGAGCGCTCGCTGTTCCAGGGCCCCAGCACTGAGGCGCCGAGCCCATTGCGGTAGGGAAGCGGGTCGAGGCCGTCGCCGACCGAGTCGACGGCGCCGTCATTGGGATCCCTGAAGCCCGGAACGTACGGGTTGCTGGTGCTCTTCTTCTTGTAGCTCGCGGGGATGTCCATGCCCCGGAGGAGACGCTCACGAGGGCTGTCAAAGTGCGGTGCCGCCGAGCACAGCTCGCTGGCTGACGCCCAGAGAAGCAACAGCTTGGCTGCCGTGGGTTGGGTGAGATGCATGCTGGGCCAAGATTTCGTGGTGATGGGGATCGATGCGACGGGACTGGAGGTATGCGATGTGCCAAGAGGGTAGCTCGCAGCAGAGAATGGGAAAGGGGTCAATTGGGTCTACAATTGACTTTTCTCTTTCTTCAATGGCTAAGAATAAGACACAAGAATAAAAGTCTTCAAGATGCAAGACGTTCAGCTCGTGACACTGGGAGCTAGAGGCTATTTTATACCCCCTTTCTAAAGCTCATCATCCGACTTAGCTATGCCAATACTAATGCCTTGACCTCTTCCTCGGCCTCGCCAATGTCGCAACCAACTCGTAGTACGTAAACAGGGAGAGCTTACAAAGGGAACCATCCCTCCGTCGTAGTCATCGGCGCATCACCTCACCCGCCCATCGCTGCAGTCTGCAGGTTGAACCGAACGGTGACACACACCACACACCAAAATCCCACGTCTGCCACACACCCACCAATCCGTCGACGCACATGCCGAACCACCCCCGAGACTCAAGCTCCCCCGCAGCTGTAGCAACAATGGCAAGGTAGTAGGGTACCTTGCCAAACCAAGCAGCTTCACGAGCTGGCACTGCTGCTGCTGCTGCTGCTGCATGCCACCTTGCATGGAGTGTTCAACAAAAGCTCCCCCTCACTGGCTGAAACGCGGTAGAGCGATGGGCATAGCACGTCTTGCGCATGCGGGGATGAACCAGTCAACCTGCCTCCCCAGTGATAGCCGGCGTACCAGGGGAAGAGAGGAACGCTTGCCGTAGACCAGGGGCCAGGGAGGGGAAGAGGAGGAGTAACAGACTACTTGATTAGTCTATTATGAGAATCTGGACGCACTGAGGTGGCCTGGCGTTTAAGTTCTTCACTCAACGAAACCCAATTGGCCTTTCAGGTGAGCTGTGGAAGCTCTTCTCCATCATTCGGTTCGCTGCGACGTTGGCGGGATGTCTGCAGCAGGCCATGACGCAGGTTCCTGCGCCTTGAGCTCTACTCCCAATGCAACTCCAGAACCATCGATTGGACGGGGCATATGTCGGAGATCCTGGAGAAAAAGCTGGTTCCGCGGCCAGGCGTTGTCAGGCCCCCGGTTTCACTGCGTGACTGCAGTGACATTCTGCATATCCTTTCTCTGACTGAGCTTAGCTCGAGTCCCTCAAGGCTATTTCTGATGGGCTTGCTCATGCTTGGCCCAGCTTCTCGCGTTTCCCCCTCACTCTCTTTGCTCGAATCCCACGCCCCCTAAAGGCCCGAAAGTCACAGATCATACCCGGTCCGTCGAATGGCATCTTTCTAATCCGCGAGAACCGTCCGCTGAGAGATTTACGAGCGGGGATAGATCGCTCTTGGTCTTGGCTTTCTTTCGGCATTGCTTTCCGCCCTTTGGCCCATATAAACCAGGCTGGAAACCTGGAAACTTCTCGCGGGTGGACCACGGCAGATCCGAAGTGCTCGAGTTTCTGGCCTTTGGGCTTTTCTTCAGTCTTTGCAAAGTGCTAACGGATACTACAAACATTGCGCGTCAGCACCCACCGGCTGTCTTTCTCCCCCATCCTCGGCACATCCATGCCAACTTGAGAGAGAGTTTTATTTATATCCGCATAATTCTTCGCCAGCCAACGTCACTTGGCCAGAGCTTCCAGTCTCTTCGAGGAACATCCCATTCTCAGTGAAGCCAAAGCTACTGCTTCTCAACCACCCTTCTACGTCGCGATCTGAGACGCCCTATCGGAACGACGCACCGACAACACCGTAAAGATGAGCTCAACGAGCGGCAACTACGGTTCCGTCACCAACTCGGCTCCGGTCGTGAACGGCGACTCGCACGCCCACGCCGATGAAGAGCAGCCCCTTCTTGGCGGCGGAGGCGGCGCCCGGAAACCAGCTTCCAAGTCTCTGCGAAAGAAGCTCACTACAGACGTGCAGCGCGACTGGGCCGACCTGGTTCTCTTGGCATGCTACATCATCACCGGCCTGCTCGACAGCTCTTCCATCTCCATCTGGGGCTCTTTTGTGTCTATGCAAACAGGTAAGATCCCTTCCAAGCCTTCGATACCCACAATAACGGCCCGAAGCTTCGCGTTCCACAGTACTGACACGGAACAAAAAAACAGGAAACACAGTCTACATCGGCCTCGGCCTCGCCGCGCCCACCGAATCCACCCGCTGGATCAAATCCGCCACCTCGCTCATCTCATTCTGTCTAGGCTCGTTCTTCTTCAGCCGATTCCACCGCTTCTTCTCCCCCAAGAAGCGCTGGGTCCTCTGCGCTTCCTTCATCGCCCAGACCCTCCTCTGCGTCGCCGCCGCCGTCATCCTGACCGTTGGTCCTGCGGCCGGCAAGGACGAGATCGCCTGGAACGTCCTGGTGCCTATCGCCCTCATCGCCTTCCAGAGCTGCGGTCAGGCTGTCACCAGCCGCGCGCTGAAGTATAACGCGCTCACCAGCGTTGTATTGACAAGTATCTACTGCGACCTCTTCTCTGACGCTGAGCTTTTTAGCGTTCACAATGCTGAGCGAAACCGAAGAGTTGGCGCGCCTGTATTGCTTCTTGTTGGTGCCATTTGCGGCGGCTTGTTTGCGCACAGTTCCCTGGGAATTGCTGGCGCTCTGTGGACGGCCGCTTTCTTGAAGTTCCTCATCGTCTTGTCGTGGTTCTTCTGGCCGGGTGAACCGACTTCGGACGAAGAGTAGATAAAGTGTATACTGGACTGTATGTAGGCCGCCATCTGAAAAATGATCTCCCTTTCACTTGCTGGCTAGATGGTTTGAAAGTCAAGCCCGGAGAGCTCGATCTCGAGACTCAAGCCCACAAAACTTCAGCAGTGGCATATAGATAACACGAACTATTGAAATATGTTACAACGTGTGCAGCGATGAATCAAAGAACTGAGCTACTCCAAACCTGAATGAATGAGCGGTCCTCTTTATTTCCATCTTCTTCTTATGACTCTACACCCCTTCCGCCTCTATTCTGTTTGCGCATTTTTTGTAAATTTGGACAAGCCAACCCCTACTCGACAACTTCCTTCAACTGGGTAAATACCAAGCTCCTAACAAACCAGCTATGCTTCCAATTCAAATATGAACTTCTCAGGGCTCAGCAACTCGTCTTTCGCTGCCGACCATTTGCCAACGTCGCTTGGAGTCATTGGAGCTGAGCGATTTGAATCTCCTGATGCTCGCGATTTGGTGCTTAAGGAGGAACTAGAGTCATGCAAATGATCATGTAACCCTGACACGGCGCCAGTACGTTCCCTCATACTTTTATACCGTTGGGTATTCGCCTTGCGAAGCTCGGCGACACTCTTCAGAAGCTTGTTTGAACGAGGCGTTTGTGCTATAGATTGAATAGTTGTTTAGCCACTCATGTTGCCTGTGAACATTGACACCAAGCGGACTGAAAGGAACTCACTCTTTCTCTGGCTGTCTTCGCTCATCATCTCTCTAGGAAAGCCACTGATTGGGAGGAAGGCGTTGCTGGAGTGGGGGTATAGCTCTGTCCGCAAACACAGAAATATGTTTGTGGTTGATAGCTCTTTGCTGACCACGACACGGATCCTCTTGAGCTTGAATGTGCCTCGGAGATACATGTCAGTGATGTTTGCTTCCGGCATGGGTATCTTCGAGGCATCGTCAGGCAGCGTCCCCGCCTCTTCTACGACAAAATATGGTTCAAAGTCGCCTCTCAGACATGTGCGGAGGAATTCGCCTAAATATTTCATCTCGTTGGACGAATTGGCAAATCTGCAGTGGATGCGGCCTTCGGTACATATGTCAGTCTTTCGTAATGATACATTTGAGCGCCATCAAAACGCCACAAGGTCAAAATTCTATAAAGAGGATCCATGATATGCTTACCTGTGCACTCGAAACCTTCTTTCACTTGTCTCACTGATCCCACATCTTTCTCAAAGAAGAAACAGCTTGCGACCAGTCTGTGTGCGATTTCCTTGATCTTGCCCCGGTTCAAATTGAGGTACCGTTTTGTCGCTCTCTCTAGGCTGTCCAACTCGTTGACCGCATCTAGACGGGGGATTTTGAACCGCAGGTCAGGGTTGACACGGATATGTCTGCGGTGACTATCTCTGGTCACATGTGAGTTCTGCGATAGGATATCAGTCTTGAAATCGGACCATATAGCGTTGCAGGAAAGTATTCGATCGAAGCGATCGGCAGCAATTTGAGCTAGCTGTACAGGTAAGAAGGTTCTCTTGCGCTTGGTCACGGTCTCGCCACCTTTCAATATCTCCGTTCTATGGGCAGTAGACTGGATCTCATTATCAAGACCGTTAATTCCCGTACCGATGGATAAGAGAATGTCAGGCACAGTGTCGGCGATGTCGGGCCATATCATTCGTCTTTCATGGTGAGCCACGAGTACTGGGCAATTATGGTAGAGCGCACCATCGAGGTAGCTACTTTTGGTGTCTGCCTTCGTGAATGATTTGAAGAATGGAGGTGCAGCGGATGTTGCTCGAGCCCTTCTCATTGTTCAGTTTCAAGACCATGAATTTTAGCCTGGAGTCTATGGTACTTACGCCTCCCATGCTTTGAACTCTTGACTTGGCTCGTTGGATCGAAAGAGCCGATAAGGAAGCTCTGCCTCAATTAGTCTTGTATCTTATGCGAGCCGAGAGAGTCATGCGGCACATGGGGGGAGTACTTACCATCATCCATCGAATCAGGTCTGTTGTAATTCGTGAGAATAACTGAGTGCTGGTCAATAGAAGTTGTCGAGGTTACAGCCACTTTCGTTAGCATTTCGCTCTGGCTATGGTCGTTGGCTCCTCCGAAGAGTGGCCGATCCTGAAACTTCTCCCGCAGAAGAGCCTCAAATGGTTTGGTCTTGTAGATACTTCCGTGATTGATCGTGACAAGCTTCTCAAGCAGCGGAATGCCCGACAATTCGCGTGGCCTGAAGGCGTCTGCACAAAGGTGTTTGAATGTCTTGATACATTCCTCCACGGACCAATTATTGACTCCTAGTCCAAGAGCAATAATTCCTCCCGTGCTATCGCCAAGGTTAGGTAAGTTTCAGTAACGACCCCAAAATGAGACGAGCATACCTTGTACCGACAATCAGATCGAAAAAAAGCTGTATCGGGAGTCTCTCACCGAAGACTCTTTCAATGGCTCTGAGAACGTGAAGCTCTACAATCCCTCGGACTCCACCACTATACGAAACGTCAGCTAGTGAGCAAAGCTTTATTTCGGGAAGAATGGCAGCTGAGGGGGCATCGTACCCGTCAAGACACAGTACTCGAGCGCCCGCAAATTGTGGTTTGACCACAACCGTCCATGCAGGCTCCCACATTGTTTCCCTTTCGTGAAGAGGACACCTTTTCATCTCAACTGTCGTATGAGCCTTGATACCGTAGGCTTGAATACAAGGTAGACACAGAACATGACCGCAGGGCAATGGATGTTCAGGGAGCTCTCTTAGACACGAAAAGCAAGTGGAGTGACTGATAAAGTCCCCTACATTACCCAAAGAGAAGTAAAAGTCGTTTAGTTGATACCTGTGGAGATCAGCAGCGACCTTTTGCTCGCTCTGCTCGCGCACTCGTGAGGTGGCTTCTTGGAACCTGGCATGAAGCTGACGCAGGTGATTTCGAATTTGATCAATCCACTGACCCGCAAAGTCTTGCAGGTCAACGTCTGACTGATAATTTCCCGCTGCAAATATACGTCCATGTTTGTTTTGGTGACCTTTCGGATCGTGTCCAAACTTGACGTTGTAGCATTTTCCATATTTGGGATGAGAGAAGGTGCATGGCGCATAGAAATCTGCATAGCCTTCGAGGGCAACATTGCAGAAATCCACGTACGCGTCGTCGAGAAGTCTCACAGGGGTTCCTGTAGATTGTCAATACTAAGGTACCTTACTTGAAAGACCAGAGAGAGATATTGCTACTAACCCAGAATGTTCTGGCGAACTGAGTCGAGCATAATGCAAGACGATATCATCGGCACCATGTTTTCGAAGATCTGTTGCGTTCCGCCGCCATTCTGCGAAATTTTTGTCGAATTATTACCAATGGAGATCGCCAAGTTCAAGATGTTGCCACTGAAATCTTGTGGAATGGGGTTGTGTTTCAACGCTTCTTTGACAAAGTCAAAAGGAGTATCCAGATCGCGGGAAAAATGATCGTAAGCAGCGTGGAGGTAGACTTGCAACTTGTCTGCAGTGGCCAGCATCCGAACACGCTTCTTGGTAAGCAGAGACGCTTGGCATCTTTTGTTGATCAGCTCAAAGAGCTTTCCCATCTGATCGTCCATGAGCATGTAGCGACCACGAGATGGAACTCGAATCACGGTGATAGAAGCGTAGTAGCAGTCGAGTAAGTCTTTGGTCGTGTTGATGGTTCGACCAATTGCCTGCCAAAGCCTGGCTTGCTCTTCGAATCGGGGCTCGCGGAAAATCGCTCCACTAATATCATCAAGAAGACGAGCAGTTGCGGTCTCAATATTCCATTCATCATCATCCACGTTGTCAGTTGCATTAAGGACAATGACTGCGTGGGGAAGAGCCGGTTGGTTCAGCGATTTGTCGATCGAAGCCGAGCCCCATTCCAAAAGTTTGTCGAGGACGGTAGATTCAAAAGCCCTATATCAATTCATGAGCGTATTCCTTAAGAAGGAGTATAGGAAAGTTTACCTAGGGTTTCTCAAGACGAAGACAACCACATCTGAGAAGGTGTAGAGTAGTCTGGGATAGAGCTGCGTGACTGCGTACTCTCTTTTCTTCGTTTCTGGGGTGACTGCCCATTCGAGGTCCCGCTGAGATGCATAGCGCGACTTTCCGAACTTACGTTTCGAGGATGTATCAATGACACCCGAAGAACGGCTAGCAGTTGATGGCTTCGGCGATCTGCCTAGACCAGTCTTGCCCATGACATTTGTGACATCGTTAAGGATCCCCAGAGCCTCCTCTTTCCCTTTTGTGCGATGTCGCAGACCTGCCGGTACAGCTTCCCCACCATCCAAGCCCTCGCAGTCTGCGTATAACACAGGCGCTTGGGTATTGTAAGACATCGGATCAGCATACAGGTGGACGTCGCCAGTCGTCGGAAGGCGGTCGTTGTTGGACGAGGTAACGGGCGACGGATACTTTGCCCCGCGGTCAAGCATAGCAAGCCGATCAATCAGCATTTTGATTAACGTGCTTTTCCCAGCCCCTAAGGATCATCAGTAAAATATGTTAATAAGAACTGAACTTCGAGAGTACTAGCCTGTTTGTCCAATGAAGGACACGAGCTGAGGATAGCGGTTCCCATGGTCTGAGGATAGGTTATCGCTCATCAACGTGGCGAATCGACCATAATCCTGCAATATGGGTTGGTTGGATGAGTCTCGCCCAACTTCAAACCATGTGGTATCCTCATCCGATTGGAATTCGAGTTCGTGCTCTGTCGCCGAGCGGGTGGGCTCCAGGATCTCCCGCAATCTCTGGACAACTTGGGGATTGGACTTCTCGTGCGGTCGACCATCCCAACCGACGGCGCCCGGCTCGTGAAGCTCCCATTCGGACCAGCAATCATCACAAAATGCTAGATTGTTGCACTGAATACAGGTGAAAAGCTTCTTGGTCGTAGCGCGACACTTGTGGCAGATTGCCGAGCGTGCTTTGCGAGCTGTGTCTGTCATGGTGCCTAGTGCGCTGCAGTCTCCAAGGACTGAATGGCCTTGTCGAAGGAAACAAAGAAGAATGAGAGGCCCGGATTGACATAAAGAGGGAACTCAGGAACATCCCTTCCGCAACCTCGAGACTTGAAGTAAGGCTGTGAGGCAACCGGCCGCGGGCATTCTCGCGCCTGCTGCAATATTGCAGCCACCAGTGCCTCTGGGTCAGCAAAAGAGGGCTAAAACTAGACTGATTGGAAGCCGTGAGGCTTTCTTGTCTTGGATGCTGAAAGCGTTACCCAATAGTGTTGAGCTGATAGACTCAGCCCACCATCTTTCAGAGTTGTGGCGTCTTCAGCAGGAGTGGTTCGAACTTCGAACCCTCGTCGGCGCGTCACTACAGTATGCATGTAAGATTCAGCTCGTGCGGAAACCCAGCCTGATGTTCATCTCTTGGTAATCAAGTTCAAATCTGGCGTTCTGGAAATTGTTATGAACTCTCCCTTCCGTACCAATTCGTACACATTGGAATGACGTAACGAGCCCAATTGCTTAGTCGTATGTCCGCGGCCTTGCTGTTACCTTCAGCCACACCGATTGAATACCGATTGAATACCGAGTTACACGGAATATAAAGGGCTGAAGATCGACACTCACAGCTCACATTCTATGTACGTGCACTAAGAAATGAACACGAGCGTTTCGTAGCTGTACCCAGACATGAGAACTATCCTACTCTGCGAAAGTGGATATACACAGCTGTACTTGCTCACGCCAACGAATGCACGTACGTTTGGAGGGGATTGACTTGATTTGAAAGGTAATTCGCCGGAGATCTTCAATTGTTTCCTGAATTAAAGGGGTACCTCGCAGCTTCATTTATTGACCTACTTACCTACATGTACTGGTAAGAGGAAAGCTCTTTGTACGTACCTTCATCACCAATCCGTGCCGTGATGCCTTGAATAGCGTGAGTGTGTTTCCCCCTATGTGCCATCTGCAAAAAGCCTTTTGCATATCATTGAAGACCCTTCAGAGCTAAATTCATCCTTCTGGAAAACTCCAGGTAGCGGTCCCAGTCCGTTCCTTGGTCGCTACCGATCGGCAGTGAGGATCCAACGAAGCTACCGACCCCAGCTCCGCCCAGAGATTCTTCAATCTCCCAGTATTTCCCGCCGTCGATGAAAATAACCTCTCCATTTCTGTTGTTGTCATTCATGAGTAAAGCAGCCGATAGAGCCACATGTTCAGGCGTATTCAGAGCGAGTCCCGTGAGAGACACCATCTCCTCGTTGACAATACCGGACTTAGTCCAGTTTGGAGCGAGAGAATTGAGTCTGATGGGAACAGGGAGCTCTTCTAGATGCGGAATAAGACTGCGCATAAGACCAAGCACAGCATGCTTAGACGTGGCTAGTGTGATTCGTTGTATCAGTATTGCGAACGAAATTGGAAGTATTCTCGAGTCAACATTATCCTTGTTGCAAGGCAAACGAAGATGTTGCCTGGCCGCAGAGGTAAGATCATGAAGAGAATGACACTTACTATAATCAACAGCTTTGAATCTTGACCAAGAGCTGACAGATGCAGTGAGAACAATGCTGCCTCCGGTCTCCTGTTTGCGCATGTGGTGAACAGCGAGCTTGACTGTTGAAATGACGCTAAAAAGGTTCGTCTCGACGCAACTCAGGTCTGGTGCCTTCAACTCTCCATCAGTAGGATCGATCTCGTCGTCGATAAACCGGGTCCGGGCTCCAACTCCTAATACCACCGTTGTCAGCCCTCGTGTTCATACAGAATCTTTCTTTGTCTTGCCCTCAATCCACCGGGTTCAATGAAGCTTCTGGCTAGATTGCAGTAGCAGCGGCTTCAATGACTTCACAGTTAAGTGGTCATGGCAATTTCAAGGACAAGCTAAAGATATCTCCAGGTGGGCATGTTTACCGGCATTCGCGAAGACAGCGTCAATGCGACCTTCTCGCTCTGCGGTTCGCGCAAAAACGCCACGAAGAGCTTGCCAATCGCAAACATTGCACGGCTCGAAGGTTAGACGAGACTCCACTGGAGACGGATCGCCAGGCTCCGAAGCTTTGGGAAGACTTAGATCGACATTGGTAACTCGCGCACCCAGAGAGAGAAGAAGGTTGACCGTTCCCAGGCCGATACCCGAGGATCCGCCTGATGATTGCTTGGTCAGCATGTATCTTCCTCAAACAGATGCTGATATGATAATTCGAGTCTTTGGCTGGTTGCACCATCATGTAGTTCAACCTCAGAAAAGAATACAAGACAGTCGCGAGGTGTGCATACCTGTCACTAAGACAACCTTGTCTTTGAGACCGACGAGGTCTTTTTCGTTGATCTCGAAGCGCGACATTGATCCGATATAACGTTGAGTTGGTCAGCTTTATTTCGGTCAATTAGTCTTCTGTGGTAGATGGTTTGGTGTTTTGTATGTCCTCAGACCTCGCTTCATATCACTGCCTTGGGCGTTTTATTCAAATGCACCTGATATCATTGCGCTTAAAGAACTCCGTCGGCGAATATGGGAAGACCGGATGATTGTCACAGAAACCTTGTTTCATCCCGTCCGCGGCCTGCCGAGGTGCCTGTCCACCCCGCACACCCCGCTTCCTCGAGATCTCGCCACTGAATCCAGGGACTAAGTAGCTGTCAATAATAAAATTGAGTTTGTAACCACTATCATTGGTGGGCAAGAATGCTACGATGTTTTCCGAAGCGGGTGGTGGCAGAATCACCGGACCCTTTGGGCCTTCGGGGAGATTGGAATGCAGGAGATAACAACCACTTGCCCTCTCGTCTCTTCATCACTTCCAGCTTTGATACGTTCCTACAAATTTGTAGATTGCTTCTATATCTTCTGGTTCAAGATACCAGACGTAAGGGTACATGTAGACTTCTGACTTCGTTGTTCAAGCTGGAAGATCAATAGGCTCAGATTGGAAGGAACCTGCAAACCATACCAGAGGACGACGCTGGAATCGTACTCTTTGGGTTCAGACATTAAGAAGTAGTTTCTATGCTTAAGGTTGCCAGAAAAAAATCAAGTTTGGTCTGTATAATATTAATGTTGGCTGCTGAAGCCTTCAAGCGTGCGCTCCTCGTCTAACAGCACTAGGTGGCACAAGGGAAATGATTTTCATACGAATAAAGCTAGATTCGCTTATCCTTTTGCTATGTGCGTGCCGCTACCAAGGACATTGCCGTTGCTATCCTTCACCTTGCACGTGTTGGGCGCGCCACCAAGGTCTGACTTGCAGTATAAGACTTGTCCAGTGTCCCAGCAGTCGCCCTCGATGGTGAACGTACGGCCGTCGCCAGTGTTTTAACAGGGAGAGTGATCGTTGGGGTAAGCTTGAACGTAGACAGCCTCACCGGCGTCGTTGATGATGGCAAAGCCGGTGTAGCCGCCATTGGTGCCAGATCCGCTGGGGTCACCAATAGCGCCGTAGGCGCCGGATGACCAGACAACTCGAAGGTGCTCGGCGTACGCAGATGTTAAGATGCCCAAGATTCCGAAGAACACGAAACGGACGGAGGAACACGTGATGTCCATCTTTGGTAATATCGTTCAAAGATGTGACACTGTCTTAATGTCAAAGCTAGTGTGAAGTTGGCGCCGTTGGGTCTTGAGACGTCTCTTTTCCGAGGAGATTTGAACTGTGATGTGGTCGTTGTAATTGTTCCATTTCCGTGGTCTTGATACGAGATGTTTATACTAGTCTTTATTGTCTCATGAGGTACATATGGACATCATAACCTCCAATTTCCTAGGCATCCTCAATCCGCAATAGTCTGATGTGATAGCATCCAAACTTTTGACCAAGTCGTGTATCGCATCTTGGTTCATATGTGTAAAATTAGTAGTCCAAACTATTTTGTATCCACTCAAGGATTGTCTTCCTCGCAGAAGGTGAGAATAATCATTTCTCTTGCTAACCCTTGGGGGCCGAATTTGGAGCAAGTTGGTCGTTTATCCTCCGATTTCTCAGGCTTTGGCACGGATATAGTCATTGGCTCAACTCAATAAGGTTGCTTAAAACGGGTTCAGCATAGATTTACCGAAGCCTAGCTGAAGCCTTGCTAATGCTAGCTCCACAACTTCCCACTTCTTAACACTTCATGGTGTAGATCATCTTAAATACTGCTCAGCTGAGAGGCCGAAGATGGGTTGGCGAAGCCCCCCATTCAATCGATCGACACCGGCACAAGTCTCACCCTAGACAAAGTTGAAGTCCGACAAAATGCGTATGGCGCACTGCCGGATGTTAACATTCGGTGCAGTTTCAGGCTTTGGCTTTAGACTGAGGTCAGTTTCCGCTCGCATTTTGAACATCGCCGTCTCTACGAGTCCGCGCCCATTGACGCTATCGGCAGCTATTACTACGATTATTTTACTTGTTCCAACCATTGGTTCCGAACCCTCTACAGGAAGTTTGGATGAGAGACGCACTCATGCTCTACTCTATTGAGATTATTTTCAGACAGGCTGGGAAATAATTCCCGTCACAGAGACATTGAAAGCGTAAGATCTCTACAGGGTAGTTACTTGGGAATCTACTTAAAGTGCCTTGTTTTCGCTCGTTTGGTGAATGGATGCCATTGAATCTCCAAACGGGAGAATATCGAGACTGGGGTTCGGACACGGGTCATAGTCTCCTCATGTTTCTGGGAGTCTAATTAGTTCACCACCAATCTTTGCACAAATCGAATTGAGGGAGTGGAACTCATGAAGCGCCTGGCTTTGATTAAATTCCGGGTTTGAGGTTCCAGATTCTCTCTTTCTCGACCTGAGTTCCGAACACATTACACTCACAAGCAATCACTTTCCCATCTACTTCTCCCCGTGTTCACTGAGATAGCTGCGTGAAGCTATGTCATAGCTTGAGCAGTTAGGTGACAACAGATCATGAAGATACGATAGACGAGGAAAAATTGACTAAAGTTTGAGGCCTCCATTATCCCCTTAGGTGATCAAATACAAAAGAAATCGATTACTTCGTCACAATGGCTACGAACGGCACGATGCATGTCGTTGAGAGCCCATTGGAACTAACGGCGTCGTTTTCGCCAAACTAGGTACCTTACCTTACACATGATAATTAGAAGAGCTTTATCTTAACACCTCTCATTCTAACTTCCTGCTTCCTCAATGTTGGGAACAACTATGGCGAAAGTAGATAATTGCAGTTGCTGTTCGGACAACTGCATTGTCTACTTGAATCCCTCACAGTAAGTCTATCCTTGAGCGTCCATTCGTATATGTTCGATTTTGTGCGACCAGGTTTCCAGTGAAGCACAAGGCACTCATCCGAAAGTCAATCGCCTACAAGAAGGTAGCCGCATGCTGAGCAAGGATGTGCAGTAGTTTGTAAAGTAACAGCTTATAGTGCTTTTTCGTACAACGTTCTGCCAGAACTGATATTAATTGCCAAGCCTTTCCACAAAACTCCATTCGACGGATGAGTGTTGGAAGAGCCTTCCTCACAGTGTTGAAGATTCTCGTACTCGGATCCGAACTACCTAGCTGGGTGATTACTAATTCGGGCTCCTTTGCTTGTCCGACACAGTCCCACGCACATACTTGGTCTATAGGGGTAAGTTTAAACTCCCTACCAGGTAGCGTGGGTCTGGCCAGGGTAGAGCAGTGACTCTCAATGGCCAAATTTGTGTTCGACGTGCACAAGAATCTCGAAAGTAATGCTGCTGATGTAATCTCGAAAAGCACGGGCGAAGATACCTGACAAGGGGGTTAAACTTTGGCCTGATACCGTAGTACGACGTTGTTTGGTCGTACACCTCAACCGACAGCTGAACTCTATCATGGCAGGGCCCAAGCGAGGCCCCAATCAAGCATGTCTAAGCTCATGACTAACACATCCGGACTCTAACACTGACCCGTCCGGTCCGTCTTGTCGCCTTTGCTCCACCTCGACTCCGCGGAATTCGGGACGTTCGATCGAATGAGAGGAGGCGGATAGCCCCGGTGGTGATGCACAAGCGGGACGGGTGCTGATCAACTGCATGCCGGGTGGGAAAAAGTTCCACTCATGATGGCACGGAACCTCGAAACTTTACACTACACAGACAGGCCTTGCCCAATCCCGGTGCGGGGATGCTATCAATGCCGTGTCTTTGGTGTGTTGGTGCCCCAGTCACCTCAAGTTTATAATGTCGTCGACCTGTTCATCTCTTTACTGTGGGAGGCAAAGCATCACCGTACCTATCCAACCCTCATTCACCATGGCCCATGCATTCGGAAACCTGCCCAACGGAGTCGTAAAGATTCCGGAGAAGTTCACCCTCAATGTGCCAGACCAGAGCGTGGATGAGTTCCTGCAGCTACTCAAGCTATCAAAGATCGGACCGGAGACATGGTACAACAAACAAGAAGACGGCCAATTCGGCGTATCTCGCAAATGGCTCATTGACGCCAAAGAAGCCTGGTTGAACTTTGACTGGCGCAAACAAGAGGCTCGCATCAACTCCGTACCTAACTTCAAAGCTAAAGTCGAGGATGCGGATCTTGGAACGTTGGACATCCACTTCGCCGCGCTGTTCTCCAACAAGAAGGACGCAACACCAGTTATCTTCATGCATGGCTGGCCCGGATCTTTCCTCGAGTTCTTCCCCATGATCGATTTGCTCGTGAGCAAGTACACCCCGGATACGCTGCCGTACCATGTCATCGTGCCGTCTCTCCCGGGCTATGGACTCTCTGCTAGCTCGATTCCGCTTGAGAAAGAGACTCAACAGGAGGCTGTCGCGCGCAGTCTGCATCAACTGATGCTTGACCTTGGGTTCGGCAGCGGGTACGCTGCCCAAGGCGGTGATGTGGGAAGTTTCATGGCTAGAATCATGTCTGGCTACAAGGAGTGCAAAGCATTCCACTGTGAGTAAAACTAGCAATATCGAGCGAAGCCTAGGGTAAGGTATTGACAATGATATAGTGAACATGTTGATGCCTTCACCCGAGGATGCTGCTGGCGGCACCGATGGATTGACGCCTCAAGAACTTGAACAGACTGGGAGGATGTTGAAATGGCGCTCAACTGGAATGTCATATGCCCTAGAGCATGGTCTCCGACCAGCAACCATCGGCTTGGTATTGTCAGCGAGTCCACTGGCGTTATTGGCTTGGTATGATGTCCTTCCTTTCTCGTCTGATATCTTAGACTTACAGAAAATCTGCAGGATTGGCGAAAAGTACATCGAGTGGGTGGACTCGCGTTACCCGCTTCAGCTGGAGACCATCCTCGAGCTCGTGAGCCTGTACTGGTACACGGACACGTTCCCAAGGAGTATCTACCCGTATCGGCCATTGGCCAAGGCCATGTCTAGTGAAGGCGGTGGCACAACGATTCCTACTTCGAAGGAAACGCCGTTGGGATACTCGTGCTTCCCAGCCGAGATTGGCCTGATGCCAAAGGCGTGGGCAGAAAAGTCATTCCCCAATCTCACGCAGTATCGCACGCATGAGAAGGTAAGATATGAAAAGTTCTGTGTTAATGGAGCGACACTGACTGTGTGATCAGGGAGGACATTTTGCGGCGCTTGAGCAGCCAGCATTGTTGCTGCAAGATGTGGAGGATTTTCTGGCTTCTCTCAAAGCCGCTTCCAAGCTCTGACGTAAACCTGAAGGACATCGAAACACATTTGGTACATCTAGTCATAAATTCGTAAACACCGTGAAAACTACTAAGTACTCAATCATCTGTCCACTTTCTTCCGTGCACCATCCTGCACTTGAAGTCTTGCCTGTGGCTTGCTCTTCAATTCGATGTCCTTTCTACTGCTAGCTGGAGCGTCGTGGCTCACTTTGCATGTACATTGACCACATCGACTTGAGGTTGCTTTTGGTTCTTGATAGGGTCGTGGAATTCCGACGGACGGAAGTCTTGGACATAAGTAACTTCTCCGTTCGTCCTTGAAACGGGGCTGTATCTCTTTTTCCGTTGCCAAAACCTGTGATAGTCAACCTTGTTAGCGTTGCTCAATCTCTCGGGGCCCCGAAAGTTCAAGTAGGGGCTGGAGCTTGCTGGCGACTTACATGCAGGCACCGACGATAACAGCCATGGCAAGCACACCGGCACCGATGCTGACACCAACAATTGTCTTCTTATTGACACCACCAACATCGCCATCGAGCACGGCAGGAGGGTTTGTGCTGGTGGCGGATGCACTTGGGCTCGGCGTGAACTCCTTCGGAGCACCACTGCTAGAAATCAACGACTGCGCATTCGATCCGAAGCTGACTACGTCTTGGACAACAGCCTTCGTTGCCACCGGGAAGACCGCTTCAACCCCTGATGCGACGGCCGTGATCAATGTCTCTGTAGCGACAAACTTTCGCAGAGTCTGAAGTTGCGGCGGACAGTTGATCAAGCCAATAGTTACGCATTCTATACCAGTATACGTCACCTTCTTACTCAGCGTCGTCGTGGTAAGCTCCTCTTGACGCTTCTCCTTATCAGTCGCACTGGCAGAGACACTGGTCGCTGTTGTAGTCGGAACACGCGTGCCGGCACAAGCGTCTCCGAGCGTGGTGTAGAATAGTGGAATCTGGGTGTTTGGTACCGGACCCCAGATGCGGTCACCGATCTGGACCGAAGCGCCGGCCGCAGCACCAAGTGCAAACTGGTACGCGTTGACGGCTCGCAAGACGCAACCGTTCTCGTCTGGAGTCGACAGGGCCGTGACGTTGGTGCTCAACTCAGCAATATTTGCAAATACGCTGACCTCTATCCCGGCTGAGGCACCTGGGACCTTGATAGTGTTGTTGAAGAGTTCAATTTCCTTGCTGTCGACAGGAGACGAGATCTCGATGCCGGCACTGAAGCCTGCGCGGAGGATGGCCTTGAGCTCTACGCCGGCGCTCTCAATGATGACGGGGAGGAATTCGAATCGACCACCCTTGCTAAAGTCATTGGATCAGCGACGGGGTGATTAATGTGAAACAAGGAGAAACTCACAAGTTGACACTGGAAACATTCTTCGAAAAGAGTGCGATATTAAAGCCGACTTCATCGTCCATCCGAAGGTGGAAGCCGCTACTCATCTGAAGCTCACTCTCAACACTCAAGATTAGGTCGATGGAAAACACAACGCCCAGAAGCAAGTCGTCTCCAATCTTTGAGCCTAGGGGTGTAGTTGATGTGTAGAGGTTGAGCGTGTACGACAAGCCAGCTGACAGGGTGGTATCAAGCTGCATGTAAATCTCCAAATCTTCAAACCCAAAGCCTAGGCTCGCCTCAGGGATTGGAAGCACATCGAGGTCAAATGTAATGTTCAATGGTGGAAAATCAAAGTCATTAGCATCTAGGCCGTCAGACAAGTTATTAACCACTCCGGAAACGTAGTTCTTTGCGTAAGCGGTGATGTTGTCAAAAGTCTCTTCAAACTCGTTTCCAATGTCAGTTGCGACCTTCGTTGTGTTGAAAGTGCCGTCGATCGTGAGGTGAGCACTGGCTTTGCCTTTGATGTAGCACTTGGTGCACACTACTTCAATGCCCGCACTCGCTGTAACGTTGGCACCAGCCTCAGCCTCTTGCTCACTATGGTTGAGACTGTTAGTGTGGTGCACCCGATGAGTTGCTTGCTTGAAGTGTAATTACTTACTACTTGAAGAGGATTGCATTGTCAAACCCAGTGTCAAGTGAAGTACTGTTACTGAACTTGGTTTCTCTTCCCTCAAGCCTCGCGCTGGAGAGATACCGTCGGATGGCTAGCAGTGTGTTGGAAGCTGTCTTGCCAGGGTTGCTTCGCACCACCAGACCTACCGGGGCTGCATGTTGGCTAGCGGCAACAAGCCAACAGACAGCAAGTGTCCAAAAAAGAATTGGTGTGAGTTGTGGCAACATTGTGTACACTTCACTGGGTTCTGACAGTGAGAGGCCGAAGAGGGGAGTTTACTTGTTTCTCGAGGTCGAACTCCATCGAGAAGGCGTGGAAATGATGCTTAATTTGACTATTTTGCCATCCCTGGTCTTATGGTTTGATGTGCAAAGGGGTACATACTCCCGACAGAGCTTCACGAGCCTGATTCCCAAGACGTGAAGTTTGTTGGTTCAACCCATGCAGTTCGCCGGTCGGCGCAGTAGCAGAACCCCGGCTTGATTCATGTCTCGGCCGGACGCAGGGGGGCAACTTGGTGCTGCGATGGCTGCATGACTGGGGTCACAATCTCCTTGGACATTCCAGAATGTCACAGCCTTCTTCCAGGCGGAGACGGGTTGCAGCCAATATTGGGTTAATCACAGCTAACTTCTAGTCGGCGACTCATCGTCTTCGCAAGGCGTGGAGCGATGGGCAAGATTATAACAAGCTGACAATCGAAGCTAGGGCGCCAACGAGAACATAAGATGCTCCTGGTATTGGCATTCCTGTGAAGAATCTAGAGCTATCGTTCTATTGAAGAAAAAGACCCTCGTAGGGACGTCAGATTTGAAACGTGAGGTGATGATAGGCAACAGTATCTCGAGTCAGGTTGGTTCGTCGCATCCTGCATGTCGTGACCACACTATTTTGTGTTCGACAAGGCTAAGAAGAGTGGCTTGCTGCACTAAAACCGCATGAGGGGCACACCACGGTAGCACCCCCACTGGCCACATGGGATCACTGCAGGAGCATTCAGCCGAATCTTTTTATAACCTTTCTCAACACCATCACCGATGCCAAATTGGAGGGAACAAGACATCAAAAACGCGGAAAAAGACGTGTCCACGCAAAGCCGCCAAAGCCTGGGGCATCCCCTACACCACCCTCTACCACCGGCTCACGCCCGGCAGGAAGACATGCAGAGAGGCCAAGCAGGCGTACCAACGACTCAGCGTATCCCAGGAGAGGTCTCTGGCTGCCTGGGCATTTCGCAGGCGGAGCTGGGATTCCCCGTCACCCGTCCTCAGATCAAGGAGTTTGTGTTGAAGGTGCTCGCCGCGCAGGGTGACACTCACGGGCTGCAAGTGGTGGATTGAGCTCTTTTTGGGACGGTATCCTACTATCACGGTGAAGTCACTGAGGAACGATGGGAATAGGTATAAGAAGGGAAAGGTAGCAGAGACACAGGAAACGGGAGAGGCAGAGGCCGGAGCAGGGATAGAAGCTAGAGCAGCGGCACAGGATGGGGCAGGGGAAGGAGCTGGAATAGTGACAGAGCTTGGAGAAACGACAGAAGCTGGAGGGGTGACGGGAAGTCAGGCAGAGGTGGAGGATGAACCAGTGGTAGAAGCTGGAGCAGGGACAGACGTCGAGGCCGAGGCCGAGGTGGATGAAGTGGACATGGAGACCCCAGCCGGCCAGAATAACAACGAAGACATGGAGACGTGGGAGCCGTGACGGCCCCCACGTTGTGTTGGTTGTTTGATTGTAGCCTACTGCAACGATCGCTTCGCATCTTAAGGGTCGCACGTATGCAGCTCCATGTTTCAGGCACGTTTATTGCAGGTTTGGTGGTGGCTCATGAGTCGCGACCAACGCGACCAACTGCATGGGAAGCGGGCTGTGATTATCGGTGTTGGAACAGCATTTGGTTTTCGCACGAAGTTGTCTTGATCTTGCCAGCAACGGGGTCAATGATTTACTGACTGATAGCAAAATAGCCATTTTAACTTCATTGGCTCTAAATGCTGGGCTTCTAAATAAAGGCTTGTACAGATATCATGATGCAGCAACAGCTTTCGAGTTGCTCGGGAGGTCGAACACCTTGCCAGGATTCATAATCCATCTAACAAATAGTCAGCATGGCGCAAGCGTAGCGTTCGGACCGTCAATAGACTTACTTTGGATCCACTGCCTGCTTCAAGGTCCTCATGAAATCAATAGCATCAACGCCGAGCTCATCAACAAGACAATCTTTCTTCCCGATGCCGATGGCATGTTCTCCCTACAGATAGAGTCAGCAGGGCAGTTACCAAATCTTTCATCGTCGCAGAGAAAGATTACTCACTGAGACAGTACCCTCCATCTCCAATGCTCTGCCCATCATATCATGAACACACTTGGCAACCGAAGCCCGCTGCTCCTCGTTCTTCGGGTCATACATGACCGCCTGGTGGAAATTGCCGTCTCCAACATGTCCAATGACGCTCGCAAAGAGACCGAGCTTTCCAGAGTCTTCTTTCGACAATGCTGTAGGCCGTTTTTCATTAGCGGATGTGTCTCGAGACTAAGTACAAAACGTTGGCAGATTTTCCAAGGCTTACTGATTATCTCGGCCAATCTCGAGATCGGCACAGCCACATCTGTAGACCAGAGAGAGTACCCCTCTGGCTTGATCGACGTCATTGTCCAAAGGGCTTCCTTTCTCGCGGCCCATAGATCGGCTTCTTCCTGCTTGTTTCTGGCAAAGAAGACCTTGCGGGGCTTAGACGGCTGCACAATCTCTTTGACCCTAGCAACATCCCCCTTGATACCATCGGTGGTCCCGGCGAACCTAAACAACCAAAGTCAGCACTAGTAGAAGAAGATAGAGCATAAAGTGACAGCTCACTTCAAAAACAACGTCGGACTCTCATCCCACGCAGTCTTCCTAACAGCCTCACTCCCATGCCGATTAATTACCTCCATCTGCACCTCATCCAAAAACTCCAACGCCCCAAGCGGCACCCCGCTCCGAATCAACCCCGTCGCCGCCCTCGCCGCCTCCTCAATCGTTCCAAACGACACCACGGCGACACTCGTATCCGCCGGCGCGACAGCCAGCTTCACAGTCGCCTCCGTCACGATCCCCAACGTGCCCTCGGCGCCAACAAACAGGCTCGTAAGGTTATACCCGGCCGAGTTCTTGCGCGGCCGCCGACGCGTCTTAATGATGCGCCCATCGGCGAGGACGACGGTCAGGTTGACGACCCAGTCCTTCATCGTGCCGTAGCGGAAGGCGTTTGTGCCGCTACAGTTTGTTGAGACCATGCCGCCGATGAAGGCTGTGGGGGAAGGGTCAAGCGGGAGGAAGAGGCCTGAGGATTGAATCTTTTTGTTGAGGGTTACCCAGTTTATGCCTGGTTGGACAACGACGTCCATGCTGGGTTTGTGTTAGGACTGGCGGACTCCGTGGTAGAAGGAGGAGGGAAAGTACTCGTCAGGATGGAAAGCAATGATCTTGTCCATGTGCACAAAGTCAATGCAGATTCCGCTGTACGGCGATGAGAAGCTTCCCTCGACGGAAGATCCAGCGCCGAAAGGCACTAGGACTGGTCAGAACTCTGATGATAGTTGCGATAGCTCCAACAACGGAATACTGTGTGACCCCAGATTTGAAGAGGCAACTTACCCATAGGCACATTGTACTTGTTGCAAATCTTGGCTATCTGCGAAACATCCTCAGTGGTCTTGGGGTAGACGATAGCCACAGGGCGACCGCTTGAGTTGGAGGTAGACCAGTCAGAGTGGCCATGCACCTCAATCTCATCTTCATCGAAGCTGACCGCCCCTTCATCCAGAGCGTTGGAGATCTCCCGAGCCGCCTTTGAAACCTTTCAGAAAAAATATCCTCGCCGTTTGTGGATCTAGAATTTACAGTACCTTTACCATTTCCTTCCGGCTCGCGAAATTCACATGGGATAGCTTCGCTTGTCCCTCGGCGGCCGGTCCCGAGGTGCTAGATCGGCCGATGAGGTATCCGGCAAAGAGCGGGATGGCGCCGAGAACCAAGAGTTGAAGAGGTATGAGTTTACCGCTTCTCTTGGATTGTGGCCCTGTGTGAGCTGATCGGAAGAACTTGGCTCTTGATGAACTGGTTCCTGGACCAATCGACCGGAATGGCGCGCGTCTAGCGGTGCCGCTCGTCAGAGCGCGACAGCGAGTGAGTCCGCGGAACGCCATTGATTCGACTTGTTATGCTCTGGTGTGTTTTCTTGAGTTGACTGAAGGATGTTGTGGTCAGTCAAATGCCCCGTTGATGAGCCGCGATACGGTCCACCCTCAGGACAGGTTAGGGGGCTCAGATGACGCGTTCTCCCGGACAACTCAAGCAGGAGACCCTCAGATACGAGCAAATTGCAAAATCTAGAAAATGAAAACACATGTATATGAAGGCTTGTCAATTGATTGATGGTATCGAGTCGCAAGACAGCGACGTTGATGGCCGCGCGCAACGAGTGCCGGAACTACCAAGGGTGGAATCTCCCTCCCCTAGCCCCGGAAACCGGACGAGGATTGGGCCGAGGCAAGCCGCGCGTGCTCATAGCGAGAGCCAGCCATTCAGAGTAGCTCAACGTCTATACGACGTTATCGACCAGTTCTTGTCTATCCGAGGCTTCTTCTCTCATAAACTAAGCGTGACACGTCAAAATTTTTATCTTTGTGAGGGAATGAAGAAGTGTCCGAGCTACAGCATAACATCAGTACTCATACTACCTCAACTGGGATAAAAATCCGTCGCCAATTCGCTCCAATGAGACGCCGAGGTCATCACGAATAAGTCAGCCAGAATCTCATCAACGGCAGTGACTCACTCACAACCTCACTCACCATCCTATACTCTCTCACCTCACCACGAATCTCACACATTTTACTCCCATAACTCAAAGCGATCATTAATCTCAAACCTCAAAATGCCGCCCTCAACCCCCCTAATCCTCCCAAAATCCCACCCCTCTCCGACCAAATTCCAAGCCCTCCTTGACCGCTACAAATCCCTCCGCCTCTCATCCCTCCTCCTCTTCCCATCCTGGTTCGGCTCAACCCACGCCCGCGAAGTCGCCTTTCCCCCAGAGAAATGGGTTTCCCGCCTCACGAACCCCGGCGCGACAACAATAATCATCTACGAGGATGCGGCCTCATCACCGTCTCCCACCGATGAATCCCCTTCCACCCCCTTAGACAAGGCTCTCATCGCAGAATGGCTAGCAACACTAACAATCACCGGCCCCCTCGACTCAGAAACCCTCTCAGCCTCCCTCCTAGACTTTGGTCCACCGCACCAATCCTCACCAGACGTCCCCATATCTCAATACGTCATAAACGGCATGTTCGTAACACCCTCGGCACGAGGAAAACAACTCGGCACCAAGCTACTCGAATTCGCCAAAGCCCATGTCGCTTCAGAAATAGCAACTACTCGCGCAGAAGGGAAGGGGAAGGAGAGGGCACGGATATCACTCATCGTGGACTACGACAATGAACCCGCCCGTAAGACGTATGCGAGGTGCGGATTCGACATTGTTCGTCGGTATTGGTTTAATGATTACCGTGAGGGAAGGGAACCGAGGACCGAGGCGGCGATTATGACGGTTGACCTTTGATAATCGTTGCATGCGGACCAAAAAGCCCAAATAACTTGCCGTTAGACAGCAATTAATAGCATTCGCTTGGAAAGCAAAAAGGTCGCTGCCGATGACTATAGACGGAGGCAGAGAGCATTACTGTAGATAGATGCACGTCATGTCACAAATTCACTTTATCAGAGGCATTGTGTTTGGTAAGCATCATATTGTTTTTGTACTAGTTCATCAATCCCTGACTTGCCGGAAATCTACCAGTCCGTCGCACCTCTCGGTTACCCACGAGATCCAGATACCTCATTATCATGTCCAAAACAACATCCTCAATAGAGACCCTCGGCAATAGCCAAAACCTTCTGAGCCTTCTCTTCGCCCAACTCCCCCTCGAGCCAAGCAACCGCCTTCTCCTCCAGCATCTCCCAGCTGTCCCGCTCCTCTGGAAGGACCTTGCGCAGGTAGGCAACGACTGCAGAGGTAGATATGACTCCCTCGTCATCAATACCAAGCGAGCGCAGAGCGTTCTTCACCACCTCCAAAGTAGTGCCAATGATGTTGAAGATTTCCTTCGAAGAGTCCCAACTACCGTTGAAGTTCTGGAGCGATACTATGGCAGAGAACGGATCAGTAGGTGATGAGAAGTTGTCGTATCCCGGTAGCACAATGTTGGGAGAATCTTGGCCCTTTTTGAACTTTTTCTTCTTCATCGACAGGTCAAGAGTAGACTTCACAACAGGAGCAGCGGCTGAAGGAGTCTCATTTTCCCAATCATCATCAGGATCTTCACCAGGGAGGGGCATGCTTGCAGCTTCAGACATCTCCCGGTAGTATTGATCCAGCAGAGCGGCATCAACCTGGGCCGTGGGAGGGGCCAGCGCGGCAGCTTGGACGATGGGAGGCTCTCCGCTGTCAGACCATTGGGGAGCTGCGCTTGAGCTGCCAAAGAGACCTCCAACTTGTGGAACGGAGGATGTAGACTCGTCACTGGCAGACCGATGAGAAGCGCTACCAAACAGACCTCCAGTCGGGGGCACGGACGAGACAGAATTGGCAGCCATGGTTTGACCAAACAAACCTCCACCAGATCCGATTCCACCAAAGAGAGATCCTCCAGCTTGC